AAAAATGTGTTAAAAATTCAGTCCCATTCACGCAGTGATTGCAGCTGTCTCTTTGTCCCGGGAAACACAAAAGGAGTTAAAATGCTACGGCTCAAATGTTCTCCTGCTTCCTCCTTTCCTTCCAAGTATTTCCTCCTGTTGTTTTCCTCAGAGTTTCATCAAGCTTCTGTCCATCTCTCTCAGGTGAGGAGGTTTTTATCATCAGCTGATGTCTTGGCTCCGGGATTGAGTTCCAGCACCTCTGCCCCCACTTGCTATCTCCAGATAATTTAGGTGACACTCTATACCTCCAGAACTTTAGCTCCCTCGCGTTTTCTACCTGTAGCGCGTTGACATCTCTCTCTCCTTCTCTTCCTCCCCTTTTTCCACCTTTTCCCCTTCATCACAGGTAGACTTCCCTCCTCTCTGCCGGGTTCTCTACCTCAAACACAGGCTTTATAAAAACCTGCCTTTCCTTCCCCGTAATCTCGTTATTCTCTCGTGTTTTCCTGGTCGTTTACACTCATCTTTTCCCATCTTATCTCAATCTTTTTCCCAGAATCCTTCTTCCCCCCCCATCTTTTTCTCTTTCTTATCACCATCATTTCCCCCTGACAATAATCCTCATCGCTCCCTGTGCTTCTCCTTCTTCTCGTCTCTTTCGCCCAATCTATCTGCCCTCAATCCCCTTGTCACATTTGAAGCCTTTGTTGTAAAACAAATTGGATGTTTTTCTGCAGTGCCCAGGTCAGCTATTCATTTAGAAACAGTGAGAGACAGAAAGAGATGAAGAGTTGCAAAAAAACAAAAAACAAAAAAAACAACCTCAGCAGCCATACGATGATGAAAGGCTTTCAGTGAGCAATAACACATCACCTCAGGGAAACCTGCACGCATAATCTCATCCACCAAGCATGGCTGAGCCCACACACATGCATGCACAGGTGAACATGTAACCACTGACCCCTATTTTTAGACACGAATGTTCTCATAAGCATGTAATGTTGTGCTTTTCAGCTTGCTAGAAACAACTCCATAGCCTTTTGGTTTTCTAAAGCAACTAATTCCACTAAAAGCATCAGCTTTCTATAAATAAATCCCATCAATCAACTCCGTCCATTTCACTAGCAGCTTTGAGCTGATGATGCAGCTCCCCCCCCCCCCCCCCCTATTTTGTTCCTAACTGCCTCCCCTGAAAGCCCCCTCCATCGCCGCTCTGCCCCTCGCATCTCCAGTTAACCTCCGATCGTGTGCGTTCTCCAGACGCGCTGATAATGTATAGCTTCACTTCTCTCCAGTTCCTAATGAGGTTTCCATTAATCATCTTAACCCTGTCTTTCGGCTGTCTTTCTTTAGCCCCTCTCCTCATTGATTATTGATAAGATGGAGAGACAAATTCTTGAGTGGAGGCAGAAAAGAGATCCATTACAGAAAAGCCAAGTTACACGACTGAGGGTTAAAAATAGCGGCTCATATTTTGGGAACAGATACGTCATCTGATCGAGGAAAGATGAAGAATGAATGGACGAGAGACGAGAGGGAAAAAATGTGTGTGTGTGTGTGTGTGTCTTTGTTCATTTTCTTTCATCTCAGGCTTATCTGACCTTAAAGAAACTCAAAGATGTGATGAATGGCAGTGGGAGGGCCAGCTGAGCAGTAATGTAGAAGTGAAGGCTTGTGTTACTGCGTGTCGATCAGCCTGTAATAATATCTAATTACAGATCAGAACAGTTAGAGAAGAGAAGGGTTCGACTGAAGGCTGTACGTAGCCCTGACAGGTCAGTCCCGCAGTCTGTGGGCAATGTATGCAGATGACACACAGAGATTAAACAGGCAGAACAGGTACGTTTTATTCAGGCCAGACTAATTCTCATTACTTATTTGGTCGTAATGGTAGTCACAGATTACCGAATTGCTCAACTGGCAGGAGAGGACTCATTAACCTTGCTTAACTGCAGAGTGAAAGAAGAACACAGAGCGTATCTGTGACAGGTAAACACCAAACTCAACCACGGGTAGGATACAGGTAATCAACTGATTAACACAATGTTGTGACTCAAATGTTCAGCTTTTGTTGAGCTTGTGTCAAAAATGACGTTTGTTTCCACTGGTTGAGGGTTCTTGTGTTATATTGTGATACATCAGCAACAAAGAAATAATCACAATAAAGTCCACAAAGGTTTTTATACCAGAAACTATTGACTGTCTTTTTATTCATTCACTTTTATTTCATTTAGCTTTCTTCTCCAGTGAGTTTTCATCCTTGCTTTAATGTTTTGAAGTTTCAGTGTTCGTTTTTGATCATAATGTAATACTGAAGAATGTAACACTGTGTAAAAGCTTGAATCACTCCCTTAATTTCTTTTTATTTTGGTTCCAAGGAGCCACACTATCTTGTTTAAGCAATAGTCTTAGTCTTACTGATAGTTCTCCAAGCTTTCTGAAGGTCTTTCAATGATCCGTTTTAGCCCAGTCCTTAAAGGCACTTGGTTACAAGCAGATTGTCACAAAAACACACCATGTTGTTCTTGAATTTGCAAAAGAAATCACAGTTTGGCAGGCATAAAATAGTATGATGGCACCAAACCTGCTGCATGCTGTGCAGTGTGTCCTTAAATACATTGAGAAAATTGGGCCAAAAAACCATCTACAGCAGAAGAACTGTAGATGCAGATGACACAGGACCAGAGAGATGCTTCTGGACCTTCAAATGATTGTTATCAATATGTACGGAGGAGATCAGGAGAGCAGGGTAACAGTAAATATCTATAGCAGTCGTGAACACTTCATTTTACCAAGTGGGTCACATGAGAAACTGTACTTTTGCACTGGTGCAGCCCTCCACAACAGTCCCAGTTTCTCATGGTGCCCCTTGGTCAAATTAATTGTCGACCTGGTTTACAGCCACCCATAAAGCACATCGTTGGCTCTGTCATGGTTTTCAGGTTTCAGAGATCTTGTGAAAATTGATGGAACGATAAACATGGAAAAGTCAGAAGACGTCAGATTTTGTTCCACCATGCAGTCCCATCTTGACCTGCATATAACTGAAGCAGTGTGGGATCATCCCAACAGAGAACAACACAAAAATCCAGTCAACATCCAAAGAAGAGCTCTGAATGTCCTTCACGAAGCCTGGAGAACTGTTCCTGAATACTACTTAAAGAAATTACAACAAGGCTGGCCTACTACAGTTCAGGCTGTGTTAGAAAATAAAGATTTTTATGACATAAATTGACTTTCAATCTTGTTAGAACTGTATAAACTTGGTTTTTCCTTCCTTCTTCTTCATTAAATCCCCAAATTCCTAGAAAAATATAAACAATCAAGGGGTGGCTCAAGACTTTTGCACAGCACTGTATTTCAGTGGCAGTGTTTAAAATTACACATTATAATACATAACTTCTTAAAAGCAACAGACTCACATTCATACCGGCACCTTCAGATGACAACCATCTTTCCTACACAGTCTGTGGATAGTTCGTGATATTTAAGTTTATGTTTTACCACTTGAAGCATATTTCTGATTTGTCTGAGCTGATCATTTTTAAAATCTTCATCTAACAGCTTCCAGTGGGTCGCATTTTCACGAGGGTGGCATTCATATGTTGCACAAATGCTTTAAAATTGCTTCATTCGAAGTTAGCTTTGGCTGCCCTCTGCTGGTACTACATGTGCAATCAAAGTTAATTATACCCTAAAACTCTCATGTCCGCTATCTAGACCAGGGGTCAGCAACCTTTAACACC